ATCCAAGACACAAGAAACTGAGAATAAAATGAAAAATTTTAAATCCAACAAAGCAGCAATTAACAGTAAGTCTAAAATCATATGAAGCAAAAAACAGTGAGACCATGTGAAATGTAAGTAGGGTGCCCAGCCACCCCAGATTTGCCTGTGCAGGGAAAAATTTTGAATGCCTTGTACGTGGGTGTCCTATAAAACTTACACCATCTATGAACTATTTTAAACTCTGGTAATTGAAAAAACTGAGAGTAAAGCAAATGCGTTTTGTCCAAAGAAATCCAAACTGTTTCCATTGGAACACAACTGATCACTACACTGTGGATACTGGCCAGCTGTCAGCTTTACTTCTTACATGCCAATTTATTTTATCATCCCTTTATACTCTCCTTGAAACTGCTATAACTTCTCTTATTAGTTAATGAGTCATGTTTATATTAGAAAATATCCTTTAACACCTGGGATAGTCCTGCTTTCTATCAGCTATCCTGATATTATTAACAGTGTCCTTTACTCTTAACTGTACCAGTTGAGATGGCTCTCAAAAAAATCCCAATGATCATGAAGATGGCAGGACTGGGCAACATTTTGGTTCTTTTTTTTACATGCATCGGTGTCTACCTAAGGACAACCAATGACAACATAGGCTTCAACCTATTATTATTCATCCACCACTTGCCTGTCGTACTCTGGTGGCATGTGTGTGGCCGTGATGTTGGAAGCTATGCCACTGGTGTTTCAGGTATCAGCATGGTCACCCATGGTGGACAAGTTTTGGCAGAGCTTCCAAACTAACACAGACTTGGAAGAAGGACTTGGAGATTTACTTCTTAAAAAAAAAAAAAAAAACTGGCCAGTGAAAACCTTATGATTTGCATATTGCAAGTCTGCTACAAAAGCTTCTTTAAAGTGTTAGTGAACAAAGATGTCCCTTTGAGGAGTAAGATGTGCCTGACCCAACCCACAGTATTTTCTATTGCCCCATATGGATACAAAAGCTGGACCATGAATAAAGAAGGCCAGAAGGGAATTGCTGCACTGAATTATGGTGTTGGCAAAGAATACTGAAGACACCATGGGTTGCCAGAAGAACACATCAATCTGTCTTGGAAGAAATACAGCCAGAATGCTCTTTAGAAGTGAGGATGGCAAGACTTCATCTCACGGACTTTGAACATGCTATCAGGAAGGAACGGTCTCTGGAGAAGGACTGTTCTGTTGTACACAGAGTCTCCAGGAGTCAGAACCCACTCAACAGCACGTAACAACAACATTATTATTCACAACACTGCACTTTGATAAGCCACAGAAGGTAAAACACAGATAATACGGTACACGAAAAAATGAATACAAAAATGTGTCACAACACTAACATGAGAGGCAATGAAGAAACAATAAAGTAGATG